TGACAACAAACGTTGAAAGACGTGTTAATAAACAAAGAAACATTTATATCTCTTGTGTAAATGAAACCGCACGTGCGTAAATATATGAAGTTACGTAAACTGCACTTGCGTAAATATATGCGGTTATGTAATGTGAAGTCAAATTYATTTATACGTTTAAACTAAAAACTAAGTTGCGCCAAAGTAAAAATGGATGTTAAATGCTCAGATTTTCATCTTTTTTTCAACCACGATCGACACTTTAAGGTCCTTTTACCAAATACTTTAGGCCATAATTACAAACACTCTCTAAACACCCGCGGACACTATCCTTTCCCCCTCCCCTGAAAGTATTTCAGACCCTTATAAACAGCGGTGCAGTGTCTCGATTTGGGACAGTTCATCTTAATCTTTGATTKCACAAAGTTTGCGCCGTTATAATGGGAATTATTTCTATTGAAGTATCGGCCTTTTGGACGTTTCTGCTCTGTTTTGTGGGAAATGTTGTCCATGGAGCGGTAGTCGATCGTCGTTCTGTTGCTGTAAAGTCGCCGGTTATTATTGGTATGTTGAATCCGTTTCGAACTAATATGTTTTGTCTAAATGCTTTATTACCATATTTATTCGTTCCTCTTGGTTTTGCTATTGATTATATAATAACCTCTGATTAGAATTATGAGAATGAAACCTTTTCGTTGGAGGACTTTTCGTCAGGATTGTTGCGTGAATCGTTTTGAGTTGGCCGGAAACACGAGATGCTTCTGGGGGTACCAGAGCGACAAATTTCGCCGATTACGTAATTCAATAGCAACAATGACTCAAAACGATGTCGCAGAAGCTAAACAATATCCAGAAATATACAAAACCAGGATACGGAAGATTCAGTAACCGACAGAAACGCTCGAAACACGTGTTTTAAGGGAAGATATTGTGGATCTGATCACATTTGAATAAATATATGATTTAGTATGTACTATTAACGCGAAGGCAACCTCCTCAGAATTAGATCTGCTCTGCCCTGCTCTGCTATTAAATATTTTTCACTAAAAGTAGGACAGCTTAATGCTTCAAGAGAAACCTAGTGTCGCTAACAGGTTCAAAATTGAATATTTGTCAAGCCTGTCGGGAAACTCGAGTAGCGTGACTACATTAGCCAATCACAGCACAGAATGTAGCAAAAACCAAGATGATAATTATATTTTGATAAAATGTAGTAAATCTTAAATAAAAAACTAATAGCATCCAAAAGAAAAAAAATACTGTCACGTACGTCCAAAAGAAGATTTCCGGTGAGCTTTGGATAATCAATAACGATTCGCCAATACAAATGTTTAATGGGGGGGATGACTTGGAGCGCCGTATTCATACAGTTTCCCCCATCCTCGTTCTTCCAAATCATTTCGTTAATTTGTTTGTTTGTTTTGTTTTTCAACGATTGCTAGGATAGTATTTTTCTAGCAAACAAGATTTTCGCGAAAAGGCGGCATCTGTTTTATTGTTTTAAGATGTTATTGTTTTCGCAACTTTTCTTAAAATTCAAAGAAGTATTAATCTTGAAAACGATGTCCAATCAYTTAATCCCCCAAGATATAGCTTTCCGCTTTTATAATGCGTAGCTTTTGAAATTCAAATGCTGGAAAATTTCATCAAACTAAAATATACAGAAATAGAACAATGCACAAAAACCATCAAATGAGTCAGTCTACTTTATGAAAGAAAATATTACTTTGCTCATTAAAGGCTGAATTATACCACACTTTGTTCAACTCGATTAGCGAAGGATGTAGATTTTGTTTTCTTGTAGCAAAACGTCCACTRACTCATGGCAAATAACTCTACTAGTTTCGTCGATACCAGTAGTAGTATCCATGCTGTCTGCTTCATATCGGTGCAGATCTTTGATCCCTACAATATGAACCGTCCGGCGTCAGTTCACCCGACGTGGACCGTCCTAGCAGCTGTCAATGGCATTGCCTCCCTGCCAACTGCCGTCCTCAACGCGTTGATCATTTGGGCCGTATTTGGTGATGAAAACCTGAGATCGTCCTCTTTCAACTGCTTGCTGGCCCTCTTAGCAGTGACAGATTTCCTGGTAGGGTTGCTGGTAGAACCGATTCACTGTGTTTTTCTTGGTTGTCTTCTGAACGATTGCCATTCACCATGTCAGTTTACCACGTATGCTTTGCTGACACAGSTTTKWACAGGCATCACTTTAGTGACCTTCACCATTGCGAGTGCCGAGAGGTATTTAGCCATAGAACACCCGGATTATTACCTCAGCAATATTACAAAAGRAAAAGTCATGTCAGCGACGAAAATCTCATGGTTAATAACGATTGCATATTCGTTGGTTGCCAGCGCATTCAAGAGCAAAAGCCAACTCCTGTTCAGAGGTCCATTGGTGCTAGCCACAAGTATTTGTGTTGTGGTTATATTGTACTGTACAGTCAGAGTTCAATTGACAGCTTACCGCCAGAGCAGAACCATCGCCCTACAGAAAGCATCCATTCAAGAGACCAGCGAACAACAACAACAGCAGCAACAACAACAGCAACAACAACAACAACAACAACAGCAGCAGCAGCAGCAACAACAACAACAACAGCAGCAACAACAACAACAGCAACAACAACAGCAACAACAACAACAACAAGAACGACGGAAGGAATACAAGAGAGTGTTCATTATGACCATGATCGTGTTTGAGTCGATTCTCCTATACATTCCTCTTGTTGTAATCACAGTCGTAGAAGTCATGAAGGGTAAAGATGTGACGAACGATTTTAAGTACGTTGCCTTGCCTATCTGTGTTACACTTGTACATCTCCAGTCTCTTTTGAACCCAATCATCATGGCCATGCGCCTGTCGTACATTCGCCAAGGCATAAAAAACAAGCTCTCTATCCTTGGATTTAAAGGGAATTGAACTAAATCGCAAGCAGTATGTTAAAGCTACGTTTGATTGGACTATTTGGCAAAAGAAAAACTGAAAAAGGATATTTAATACAAGTCACATATTATAAAACATTGTTTTCTTTCCCTTTTAAAGTAAAGTTTACTTGTGGCACCTGCATGCCGATCTGTTGGACATTCGCGTTTAATTACAGGATATTCTTTACATTGAACTAGATTGTGAAGTATTGTTTTAAAACTCTGAATAAACTCCAAACTGCTGCTACTTTAGTTCGGAACTTTTACTTATTTGCTTCAGTTTATTTACTTAATACRTGTATAGTTTCTTTCAATCAAATTCAGAAGATTAATTAAATAAACTTTATCAGTATGAAAACCTGGTGTCAGTATTTTTRTTTTGTTTCTTTTTTTCTTGGTCTAAATAAGAATAACGTTACTTCAATTGACCTGCTGCGTTTTTTCACTGAGTTTATTTAGCCGGAAAAAGGCTAGCAATTTTCCTTGTCAAAAGTTTTGGATTGTTAGTGTGGCTGAGCTGCCTGTGCCTTGTATATATCTCAGAACATATGTCAGAACCGCTACTTTCCCACAACTGTTCTGTACAAAACAATGTTTTTATTACTACTCAACTGAATGGTTAGTTTTATCAAAAGACCTACTGTAATTACTAGCAACAAAAGGAAAAATATTTAAAAGAAATATACTTCCACTTCGCACCCCAAAAACGGATGTTTTCTTTTGTAATGTAAAGACATGCTTATTAATCCAAAATTTCCAAAATGACTGAACAAGGGACGAATTTTTACAGTTTGATGTTGATTTGACCGGACTC